CGGGTCCCTCCTGCTGCCAGGGGTCTGGGAACAGTGGGGACAGCGACCAGGGACCCCCGAGCCTCCTTTTCTCCAGCCCCTTGCCCAGCTCTTCTCTAGACACAGCGCAGGAACTCCATGTCTTGGAGGGAGCATTGGAGTTCTGGAACCAGCCCTGGGGTTCTGGAACCATCCCTGGGGTTCTGGAGCTGCTGCTGAAGCCCAGCAGAGCAGCCCAGCCCCTGCAGAGGATCCGTGGAGCTCGTACCCCATAACCACTCCCAGGCAGACCCCAAGGACTGTCAGAGCAGCGGAGCCGCTGCTGCAGCAGGGAGGGGCTGGCCCCACATCCCCAGCTCCATCCTGTCCCTGCTCGGCTCCCAGAGCAAATTCCCCGGGCTGGGCTCCAGGCTCCTCTCCCTTCCCTGTCCCAAAGCAGCACGGAGCCTGCAGGATGCTTCCCTCTGCCATTTCCACAGAGGAATTGCAGGGAAGGACAAACCAGACACCCCCCAGCGCCTGGAATCTGGTGAAAGTGCGAAACCACGGATGGCATTACAGGGAAAACGCTCCCTCTTTGATCTCTCTAACTTGAATTAAACATATTCTAAATTAATCATTAGCAGAAGGTCTTTCAGGAAATTATCTGAACTGCCTTTACAAATCACGACTTAAAAGAGCTCCCATTGCATAACACCAGCTTAAATATTCCATGTTTGGATCTTTATATGTTCTTATAAAATGAGACTCCTGTCCGGCTGAAGGATTTCGGGGTCAGCCTCCTGGGGTGCCCAGGCTGACGGGGAGACCAGGGGCAGCTGCTGGCACACGCTGGGTGCCTCGTGCCAGGCTGGCACCGAGGGCTGGCTCCCACTGCCAGCACCTGCCAGGTACCTCCAGGGTCTGGGGGTGAAAAGGGAGCCCTGCAGTAGAGCCAGGGAGAGACTCCTCATCATGAACTCCAGCGACAGACACAGGGAACGGCTCCCACTGCCACAGGGCAGGGCTGGATGGGATTTTGGGAATTAGGAATTGTTCCCTGGCAGGGTGGGCAGGGCTGGCACAGGGTGCCCAGAGCAGCTGTGGCTGCCCCTGGATCCCTGGCAGTGCCCAAGGCCGGGCTGGGCACTGGGGTTGGATCCTGGCATGGTGGGAGGTGTCCCTGACCCTTCCCTGTCTTTGGGAACGAGACCTGCCAGAGAATTTTGTGATCCCTTTCTGTGAGGGAAACAGGGCAGGCTCTGCTGGCTGCAGGGGGATCCTGCTGGGATTTTCCAGTGGCAAAAACAGTTCCGTGATGGAGGTGATGGGAATGCCTGTGCCACGGATGTGGGGTCTCAACATCCTCAGCTTCTCCACAGAGCTCAGCAGCTCCATTTGGGACCCCCCTGCCCCTGACCTGCGCCCCAGTGCTGCCAGCCCAGCATCCCAGTCCAATCCCAGTGCAGAGCACCCCTCACTCAGAAACGCTCACAATAACCCGGGCACACTAAAAACACACCCGGGCACACTCAGGGACACCCAGGCATGCTCACACACGCTGTCACACGCTGTCACACGCTGATATTGGTGGCACAGCCACTTTCCAAACCATTCACCACAAGCCACGGCGGGGTTGTTTCAGTCCAGCCCCTCAGGCAGGAGTGGCACAGCCCCAAACCCAAAACCTGTAAATGTCTTCACTTCCCACCCCTGCCCAAAACTGCACCTCCCCAGCACCCCCAGAGCAGCAGGGACCAGCACAGCCCCTGCCCCTCCCCACAGTGCCTGACCCCAGCCCCATCCCCATTTCCACTCCTGGGGCTCCAATGCAGAATTTCCCCCCCGGCTCCTCCAGGGATTAAACCCAGGATTTACAGCAGCAATAGAAGCAGCTGAAAGCAGCTCCTTCCTGCAGTGTTTGGGTTGGAAATCTCCTCGTGGGCTGCCCACTCGTCCCTGCTTCCTGAGCTTAGGAGGAGATTATTTTTTTAAAAGAAACCGTCAAAAAAAGTCTATTTTACAAAGTGAAGTTTTAAGCTTAAGTCTCTTTGGCAGCAACATCTGAGCTGGGAGAGATCAAAGACCCTCCAGCTCCACTGCCAACATGAAGAGATCCTCACCAGCAATTTGAGTGCAATATTGTGGTTTAAAAACTTCATTTTCCAAGTTCAGCATCGTGCTGAAGGAGCCCAGGGTTTATCATCCTTCGGACAAAGCTAAAGTTGGCTCTGCAGACAGGGCTGAGCCCTCCTGACTGACAGAGCCTCGGCTCAGCCCTGCCCTGGGGAGGAAATGAGCACAAATTGAGAATATTCCTTTGCAGGCAGGGAATAAACAGCCCCGAAATCCTGGAGCAGAGCTCCAAGGGATGCTGTGCCTGCACCGAGCCCCCTCCCCTGTCCCCAGGGAGGGCAGGGAGGTGTCCCCAAGGGACAGGACAGGGCTCTGGGCTGTGCCTGCCCCTGCTGGGGACCAGAGAGGAGCCCTGAGATCCTGACCTGGGGGTGATGGAGCTGCGGGGGAAGGGACCTCAGAGAGCACCCCCATAATCCCAGGGGCTCCAAACCCTGTCCTTGGGCCCTGCAGGGATCCAGGGACAGCCACAGCTCCAGGGAACAATTCCTGCCCAGCATCCCCCTGAACACAGCCAGGCCCCTTGTCCTATGAAAAGAAGAGAAGCTGCTGTGGGAGCCACGGGTGGAACCAGAAATCCCGGGGGTTGCTCACCTGCCCAGCACAGCCCTGCCCACCCGAGGAGCCTGGCAGGAAGGAAAAGGGGTTTTACATAACCCCAGTGTAATCCTGTTATATTTATAGCATATGCATTTCAGTATTAATTCCCTGTTATCTCTAATCCTTCCTCCTCGCTGACACAGTAATTTCTGTCTTCAGGACTTATCTGGGCAGTTTGATCCAGAAGTTTAGAAAGCTCTTGAAGAGGAAAGTTCCTAATGAAGGGACCCACGGAGCCTTAAACTCCAGATTATCGATTCTGCTCTTAATCCTCCGCAGGTTTTCACACGCTGGCGTGTGCAGAAGGCTCCTCAGGGCTCTCCAGGATGGAATTTCAGCCCCCGGTGTCCTCATTTCGGGAAGTCTGCAGCGGGACAGGGGTTGGGCACATTTTAAACTCGTTAACAACCAGGAGCTCCGAGAGCGCCCAAGGGCTCCGGAAAATTCCCCCCGTGTTTCCCTGGGCTTCCCCAGAAAGGGGCAGGAAAGGGCAGAGCCAAACGCCTCTGAGGGGCTGGAGAGGTCCTGGCAGGTGAAAGGTCCCTCTGTGGGGCTGAGGGGGGTCCTGGCAGGTGAAAGGTCCCTCTGTGGGGCTGAGGGGGGTCCTGGCAGGTGAAAGGACCCTCTGTGGGGCTGAGAGGGGTCCTGGCAGGTGAAAGGTCCCTCTGTGGGGCTGAGGGGGGTCCTGGCAGGTGAAAGGTCCCTCTGTGGGGCTGAGGGGGGTCCTGGCAGGGTGGAAGGTCCCTCTGTGCTGAGCCCCAGCTCTGCAGGGC